AAAAAAAAAAAAAAGGAAAAACTAAAATCGGAAAAAAAGAACATTCCTGTCACATGTCATGAGGCAGGGGCCTGGCCTGGTCAGTGCCCCTATCCCTAGCGCCACAGCCCCCTCCACCAAGGAAGCTCCCCAGTCCCATCCACTGGGCCGGGTCATGCCCTGGAGGGCATGACCTCATCTCTCCCAGGCTCGGGGTCATGAGCCAAGCCCCCTGTCAGGGCCCTGGGTGGGCCAACCGTAACCCAGCCTCCCCGGTCTGTTAATCTGTCTACCCAAAGGCCCAAGTACGCTCCCCGAGAAGCAGGGGGCACCAAGCCAGGATCGGACTGCTGGGAAGCGTGGGGAGGGGAGTAGGCAGTGCTGGGCCCTGTCCCCTCCTCCTGCGTCATGTCAGCAAGGGAGGGTGGGCCCAGCCTCCCGCAGGCAGATGTCACCAGCCCAGAGGAAGACCCCCTGCTGAGGTCCTGGGTTTCCATTTCCCATCCCTCCACCCCTAAGTTCTCTCCAGACTCACTGAAAGAATGTCCAAGCCAACCCACAGTGTGAGAGCGGCACACATGAGGGGAAACTGAGGCTAGAAAGTGGTTCAGATGCCAGGGTTGGCCTCAAACCCAGACCCCCTTCCTTGTGACCCTGATGGGCTTACCTGAGGCCTGGGGACAGTGTGGGTCCAGGAGAACACCTCTTTCTCAGAAGACAATTCTGGGCTGTACCCTCTGGGGAGGAAGAGACAGGCTTGTCAGCCTGGGAAAGTCCCGGCCACAGAATTGGTCAAGCCCCCTGCCACTCTCCAGAGCGGCTCAGAGCCACGCCTGCAGCCCCCTGCAGAGCTCCTCAGGGGGCCTCCCAACTGAGACTGGGATCTGGGGGTGGGCACCTCCAAGGAGGAGCTGAAGCAGTGAAGGAGCAGGAGCAACCAGAGAACCCATGAGCTTACCTAGTTCCAGAGGGGGCAACAGGCCAGCCAGGGAGTGCACAGCAGCCCTGGGGGACAGTGGAAGGCGTCTGCACAGGGTGCAGGACAGATAGCCCTCTCCCAGAGGTCCAGCCCAGCTGGGAGGACGGGGAGGCTGACGTCACAGCAGCAAGGAGGCGCACAGTGACTTGGCATGGTGACTCGGCCTGTCACCAGGTGACTAAAGTTCATGCAGCCCTGGGAAGGCCCCAGGTGGGAGGTGCTGTGGCAGGGTCAGGGGGAAAGGGGTTCCCCCCCCAGACTCAGTTCCCTGCAAAGGGCGCTGTCTGCCCATGAGCCTCTTTAGCAAGCCCCAGCCTGGGTTCCCCTCTGGCTCTCCCTGCCCCTGTTCAGAACATCTGAACTCACAGCCAGTGTCCCAGAGATGGCTCTGGAGGCGGTGGAGTAGCGGTGCCCCTGTCACCAGACCAGAACCCAGCCTAAGGGGCCTCATCACACCCTGCTGTCAATGCCAAAGAGGGGTCCAAGAATATGGCCTGAGGCCCCAAGTGCATACCAGTTCTGTTGCCCATCCAGAAACATCAGGCCCCAGGCCCAAGGAACCACCTGAACAGCCCACAGAGGCAGGGCCCAGAGAGGGCCTGAGCTGGCCCAAGCTCACACAGCCCAGCAGTATAGGCTTGGCTACTTGGTAACTGCTCCAAGTTACTGCATGTCCCTGACCAGCCCAAGAACCAGGAACAGCTGCGGGTCCAGCCCAGGGGACCTTGCACACTGCTATCCATTCCCCTGTGGCCCTCATCTGCGAGGATATGGACCAGAAGCTCCCCAAGTCATGGCTCCCTCCCCTGCTCCTGGGCCTACTGTGCCTGTAGTGGTGGAGAGCCCCTGCAGCCTCCACCTGAGGGCTATTCCATGCCCATAACACCTGCCCCACAATCATGCTTCCAGGCTGCCCCAGCTGACAGAAGGGGACATAAAGGCTGGCTCAATGTTGCTGCCTGCCTGGGTCACACAGCCAGCATAGGCCTGTCCTGTCACCTGCTGCTCTCAAATGGACTCTGGACAGAAACCACCAGGCACACAACTGTGAGATCCTCAATAGCCCTAGGGCGGAGGTGCTATGACCCAGCCCTTTCCCTGGGCACCCCTCCCTGTGGAGATCAGGGTGACTGGGAAGATGACAGGGCAGGAACCAAGGCCCCGTGACCTGTCCTGAAGGCTAGACAGCAGACAGGAACATCAGGGGATCTGGCCCTGCCTAAGTGGCTGCATTCTATGGCAGTCAGCTGGGAGGGGTCCAGAGTGGAGAGCCACAGGGCTCTGTCCCCTGCCCTGGCCTGCTCCGCAGTTTCCTCTCTGCCTGAGAGCATACAAGACCTGCAGGGTTCACAGCAGCAGGTGGGCAGGAAGATGTCTGAGTGGGCAAAGGATGGCCCAGACCCCCACAGCTGACCCCAGAAGGAAAACCCTGGGCTGGAGAAAGTAGGAAGACAGAGGGCTGCCTGCAGTGGGACACACATGAAGTCTGGCAGCAGCTGTGGGTTCCAGAGAGAGGGGACAGGACAGGAGGCACTTTATCAAAGGCCATGTCAACAGAGGTAGGACCTACAGAATGAAGGAGGCTTTTTCTCACATGCTGAGTATGTCAAATTCTATCCCAGTCAGCCATCTACTCCCTGAATTCGGAGAGGGCACCTAGTGGGGAGTGGGTCTGCGGAAGCCATGTCACCTGAGGAAAGACTGCAGGGGCTGGCCTAGAAGTCTTCTCCAGACCCCACAGCTCTTTTCCTGGGCACATAAAGTAGTGAGTTTCCTGTCCCCAGAAATATGCAAGCCTCACTCACCCGGAGACACTGACTCTGATGTCAGTACCACCCACTTCCAACACGTGCAGGCACGTACACACACACACAGCTGAGCTGAATCTAGGCTGAACAGAGCAGCTTCGCAGGGCGCAGCAGAGAGGGGCGTATGAGGAAGAGGTAGACAAAACAGCCAGTCTGAAGTTTGCTGGTTAATCCTCCAACCCAGCTCAATGGCTTTGTCACCACAACCCCAGAGCCACAAGGGTGAAACCAGAGCACAGCCCCAACCCACTCACAGGCAGGAAGCTGAAGCTTAGACAAATGATGTTTACCAATGTCAGCTGGCCCCAGAAGATCTGCAGACCCCAGGTGAGCCTGGGACTCACCCACCCCCAACCCTGCCAGTCTCTAGCATGCAATCACTATCCCTGGGCATGAGAGCGCACAGATCTCTGCGGCTTCCCCAGGCCAGTGTGTACCCCTGGACCAGACACTTACCGCCTAGACCTGGGGTTGGAATCCGTCTCCCACACTGTTCACCCTTGCGGCACAGAGTTGAGAATTAGAAAAAAGCACCCCTTCAGTAAGATATGATAACCACTACGTGCCGGAAACCTGTCGGAAGAACTATATAGTTCTCTATATAAATAGCTGAGAGGTGGCGGATGCCCCCTGGAGTTGGGCAATGACCCCTTGCACAACCCGCCCTGACCCACCGCAATCTACAGCCACAGAGCCCAGGAGTGGGGCAAGCATGGCCCGAGGACACAGTGTCCCCCAAACCCTCGCAGCTCTGGCTCTACTCCAGAGCTGACCCCCACCCCCACTCAGGGCCACCAGATCCTCCCAGGCCTCAGTTTCTCCATGAGGTACTCTTCCCCCTTAATTCTAAGAAGCCACGCCTCTCCCAAGGGCTTCTCTGCCTAAGTCAGGTGACTCTGCCCCAGCCCTCCTTCACCCACCCCCATACCTCTCTCAAACCCACTTATCAGCCAAGAAACGGAGGCCCCCAGGCCAGACCCAGTCGGATAAAGAAGCCGAGGCTCCGCCCACCTGTGAGATCCCCCTGCAGGATGCCCCCACACGCGTCTCGCCTCCTTCACCCTAAAGTGCAGCTCGCTCCCACTGCACAGGCACACAAACCGAGGCTCGGAGAGGAAGAGAAACTCCTCTAGAGCGCAGCAAGCGTATGGCAGAGCTGGGAATGGAACTCAGGCCTCCAGACACTCCCGGGAGTCCCCTGGTCTGAGCTTCCCCACCTATGATGTCCAGCAGCTCAGAGAGGGTGAGTGGTGCCTCTGGGTCACACAGCGCTGGGGCACAGCCAGAGGCCCTCACTCCCTGGCTCACGAGACTGCTCCTGGGCGGGTCGTCCAGCAACACACCAAAACCAAGCTAAGATTTCCAGGTGTGACCCAGCTCCTCCCCTCCCCCCTCCCCAAGAGGCCCGGGGGCGGGGGGAGGGGAAGGTTTTAAAGGCACAGGAACTGCTCCAGGTGGGACAAGGGCTGGCTCCTGGTCCCATCCCTGGGGCTATGTGATCTGGGACGGCTGCAGGTCTCTCTGAGCCTGGTGGGGTCTCAAAACCTGAGCGAGAGACCTGAGCTCTGAAGGCCTCGGTGGGGCTGAATGAGGCCGGGTTTCAGCAGGAGGCAGATTAGACTAAAGGATCCCTGAGAGATGGGGCCACGGAGCTGGGGTGCAGCCAGATGCCCACGTCAGGAGGGGCTGGAGGTGTAAGCATCTGAGGCCCCACAAGGTCTGAGGAGCCTAGATTACCTCTACAACCCCAGGGCAGGGGATGCCTCTCCTAACAGTCCCTCTCCCCCAACTTTCAGGCTACAGGTGGGGCCTTAGGGGCTGTCACTCCAAGGACGCTTGTCACCTGGACTCTAGGGAGTCACATGCTCCAGAAGGGTCCTTCCTCAACCCCCAATTCAGGGGTCTGAGCAGGCAGGCTGACAGAGGACCCCAGGCAGTGGAAGCAGGGGGATGAGGCCCTTCTGTCCACCACGCCCTCATTCAATGAGATGGGGTGGGTGCCCCCACAGGGCTGGCAGTCCCAAGCCTCTCAGCCCTCAGATCGAGGTCCACACATGGTCTGCAGCCTGCCAGAATTGTCACTCTTAGCAAGGCACACACTTAAATTATTCTATTCCATCATTCTTTGTCCCATCTAATCCTGGCCCCCTCCAGATTCTTCTCTCGAGGAGCCCCGACCTGGGTGGGCATGAGACAGTATGGTCAGCCCAGGGGGAAGAGCCCTAGGGGGAGCAGGTACCAGAATACGGGCCTTGGGAATCCAGCCTACGCTGGGATTGGATTTGGGGAGGACCTGCTAGGCTGAAGGAACCACCTGAGCCAGAAGGCCAGGAACTGGAGCCTTTTCCAGGAGGTGAGGGCTGCAGGGGACCTCTTGACCACCCTAAGCCCTCCCTAAGCCCTGAGGTGTCAAAGCTGGAAAAGGAGGTGGCTGAGCCAAGACCTTCAAGGCCAGGTCAGTCTGGACTTTGAGAGCCCTGGGAGGCTGGTGAATGTGTCACTGGATCCAGTAACCATTAACCTTGGCTCACTCATTAAGACCCTGGTGGGTGTCCATTAGCTCCTTGGCCGGTTCCAGGATCTGGGCAGAAGCCAGGGGTCCTGGGAAGAAGGGAGTGCTGATTGGGGTGCGACGTGGAGGCTGGCTGAGCTGGCTGTGTCCTTGTTCCTTGAGAAGAGTTCCAGGGCCAAGCTGGCTTCCAGCCGGGGCAGCTGCCAACACAGCCCGGGGCAGGTGCCACCCTACCATCATAGTGACTTTCATCTCCTTATCGCCCCTGTGTGCTGTCACCAGCAGCCCACAGTGCCTCAGGGCCTCGGCCAGACAGGAGGCTCCAAGGGCTAGTCCAGTGCCTGGCTCAGTACCCACCTGGACTGCCCCTCTGAGAAATGAGCCCACCATGGCCTCCAAAGCCCTGTCTGTTTCAATAAGTTGCGATCTGCTCTACCTCTGTATCTGGGGCAAGAAGGGAGCTCCTGGCATAGGAATCTGCAACCTGAGATGGGAAGGGAACTGCCCAAAGACAGTGGCCCGTGACCCAGCAGGACAGTGACCCGTGACACCAGAAAGACTGTGCAAACCTCTTCCTGCAACTGGTGTCTCATGCTGCCCCACGCCACTGTCAGGTCCAGGAAGCTGACCACACTGACTACGAGGAATCACCCAGAAAACCTCGTGCCCTGTGGGGGTCAGAGTGAGGGCCATGGCGGGGCAGGGTGGGGAGGTGCATGAGGGCGAGACATCCCGAACTGCAGTCATGAGCCTCTCAATGAGCGAGCGATGCAGATGGATCCAGATGCAAGCCGTGCCTGAGCCATACTCCAGAACCACTGGAGCGACATCTCAGCGCCCCCTAGGAGCCAGAAACCCAATATTATCCAGGACGTTTTGTGTCCCCTGGAGTCCTGCACCAAGGAGACACTTGGTAAACTGGCTAAATGAAACTGACTTCAAATCCAAGCATTATAGCATTTGAGTCAATATTAGGATCACAGAATCGCAAATATTTGGTCTCTGATCTTCCAGCATCCCAGAGAGGTCAGCTTGCATACCTTCCCCCATGGGGAGCTCACTATCTACAAAGACAGCGGGACTGTGCTTGGTTGGCAAGTTCTTCCCAACATTAAGCCCCACTTTGCCTCTTTGTAACACCTGCTGCAGGTGTGCCTGGCCTCAGATCCTGCCCACTGTCTAAGGCCACAAAGCAGAGAAGCAGGGGCCACCCCAGATCCGGTACCTGGCCACGGCCTCTCTGAGCCACAAAGACCACACAGAAGGGATGGAAGGAAGACTTCAGCTCAATGAAAGGGCTGGTGTTGGCCGGACGCGGTGGCTCACATCTGTAATCCCATCCCTTTGGAAGGCTGAGGCAGGCAGATCACCTGAGGTCAAGAATTCGAGACCAGCCTGACCAATATGGTAATACCGCGTCTCTACTAAAAATACAAAATTAGCCGAGTGTGGGGGCACGCACCTGTAGTCCCAGCTACTCAGGAAGCTGAGGCAGGAGAATCACTTGAACCCGGGAGGCAGAGGTTGCAGTGAGCCAAGATTGTGCCACTACACTTCAGCCTGGGCAACAGAGTGAG